TATTATTATTAAAAGTAAATAATAATTAAATGTAAGAAGGTCTTCAGGAATTTAGAGATAAGCAGAGATAAAGGAAATCACATCTGCTGCAGTTGTTTATTGTTTCCATCTGCCTTTGCTGTAATTTTAGCTATCCAAATTAAGAACTGCAAATTGGAACCAGCTCACTATTTAACAACATCAAACTTTTATCTTCATTCTTCCTTCAGATGTAAAAGTGTGATAATATAAATTCAATTTCATAAAATTTATTAGCAGATTCTGGAGAAGCAGCATTGCTTTAACACAGTACATCTTAAGTGTTTCATTATCTGTAGTCATAACTTGTTCAAATTGGCTTTTAGACACATTAAGGTTTTTCATTAATTTAAAGTTGGGCTACTGTATACGTACAAAAATTTAATAAAGATGTTCAGCTTCAGAAAAGTTATTATTTACCTCAATTGACCGAAATAAAATTGATTGATTGATTATTATTTATTTCCAGATATTATAAAATATAAATATTTAAAATAAATAAATATTTCTGAATGTTCAAAAATATTCAGGAGCAACATACTTTTGTAAAATAGCTGATCGTTTTAAAATACATGTCTTTAAAATTACTAAGTATATTCCCCCTTAATTTTGTTGTTGTTAAAACTAAAACATTTCAAAGCATAATGTATGCTGACAGTGTGCAAGTAAATGTTTTAGAAATACCTTTGAGTATGCTTCTGTGTAACAACGATTAGGAAGAGGAATTGTGGGCTTGTATATATCATACCAGTTGGGAACAAAACCTCTCCAAAGGTGTTCCAAATAATAATTTTTTAACATGCAATGTAGAAAATAATTCTGCCAATTATATATAATTCAGACAATCTGTTTGAAGTTAGTTTTTCTCCTGGCTACATTCACTTATTTGTTTTGGCCCTGCCCATTTTTTTAGAATGCAGTCCATTCAGAGACCAGATCTTAGTCCCAAAAAGGTAACACACCCTTTTTATATAATAATTAAAAATTACATAAAATATGCAATAGATAGTAGCATTCAGTATACTGAGATTTCAGTTTGCTTTTCTAAAGGAAAAATCATACTAAAATTGCTGTAAGTATCTGAATAATTTATTTATTATTTATTTTATTTATTTCAAATGTATATGTGCCACCCATCTCACTATACAAGTGACTCTAGGCATTTTACTAGTGAAATCTCTGAAACAGCAAGGGTTTTAGTAGTTAAGAAACAAGATTTCCTTGCCAAAAATAATATAATAAATTATATATTTAAATGATATGGGTCAGCCATTTTAATTTTACACATCTTGCAGAATTTAGTTTTTTTTACAGAATGGAATGTGGATTTTTTTTTTACAAAAGACCTCAGTTTTGATGGGAGGCAGAATGTATACAGTTCTGGTAGGATTCTTAGTAGTTAGCAAGGGGGCAGGGAAGTGTATCATGCTTATGGGCTATTAAGAATTCTGGCATTAAGTTGTGGTTGAAATGGAGGAAAACGTATCAGAAATCCTTTGAATTAGTAGAATAAAATAAATAGTACCTTAGTTGGAGTTACCCAGTAGCACAGCAGGTAGAAGACTGTATGATGCAAATTTAGGTGGAACTCCCAAGGAAGCTAGTTGTTGATCCAACAGGTTTCCCATCTGGTTTTAGCAAGAAGAAGCTGATAATTATCAGCACCCTTTGACTTCAAGTATGCAAAGAATTTCAAAGGGTGGTGATACGACATGGAGCCAAGCATTGTGTCTTCTCTAACTGTACCCTCTAACTTCTTCAACTGGGACCCCTTGGAAATGAAACGACCTTAAATGATGGATGTGCTGATGTAAAATCCTTGATTAATAGTCACAAGTTTAGAATCTAGTTAATCCTCTGAGAACTCTAGTGATTCTCCTGGGAGAAGTGACATGAAACTACCTAGTCAGAAAGTCCTTCTTCAGAATCATAATTGGAGCAGTTACTACTACAGATGTCTACAATTACATCAGTAGTCATCAGTAATGTATCACATATAGTAAATACAATGAATAAATAACACCACCAGAGGCAACTGTATCCAGATTCCTATAAACCATGTGTTTTGATATTCATCAGCATATTTTTCAGTAAAGAGAAATTACATTAATTATATGCATAAGATAGGGTATAATGATTAAGATTTTTTAAAAACAATTATACTAAAATAGTTAACAAGAGGAAAGTATAAATACACAGAACTGTATCCGTAAGATAATAGAAGTTCAAAATTAATAGTCATGTTGCTGTAGGACTAACTTGAAAAATAGGTCCTGGTCCAGCCATAGCCATAAACATTTACTGGGTAATTTTGGGCCAATCATACACTCTCAGGCCAGCCTACTTCACAGATTTGTTTTTATGAGAATGAAATGGTCATCCTATGTAATCTACCTTGAACTCTTGGAGAAAGGTAGAATATGAATCAAATAATTATGATTACATCTAGCTCCACAGTGTCCCTGTGGTCACGTGATCGTGATTTGGGCACTTGGTAACCAGCTCACAATTACAATGGTTGTAGCATCCTGAGGTCATGTGATCACTATTCGCAACCTTCCCTGCCGGCTTCCCACAAGCAAAGTCTATGGTGAAGCTGGCAGGAGATCGCAAGTTGCTCCTGCTCCTGCCGCTTTTTCTCCTGAGGAGCCCCTGGGCAGCATGGGGA